CCTCTCTCCCTCCTTCCCTCCTTCCCTCCTTCCTTCCTTCCCTCCCTCCCTCCTTCCTTCCTTCCATCCCTCCTTCCTTTCATCCCTCCTTCCCTCCTTCCTTCCCTCCCTCCCTCCTTCCATCCCTCCCTTCTTCCCTCCCTCCTTCCTTCCATCCCTTCCTTCCCTCCCTCCCTCCCTCCCTCCCTTTCTCCCTCCTTCCTTCCTTCCCTCCTTCCCACCTTCCTGCCTGCTTATCTTCTTTCTTTCCTTCCTTTCTCTTTTTCTTCTTGTTGGTCCTGGGTCTTGAACTCAGGGCCTGGGCGCTGTCTCTGAGCTCTTTCACTCAAGGCTGGCGCTCTACCACTTGAACCACAGCACCACTTCCTTCCTTCTTCCCTGTCTTCTTCCTTCCTTCCTTCCTTCCTCCCTTTCTTCTCCTTCCTTCGTTCCTTCCTTCGTTCCTTCCTTCCTCCCTTTCTTCTCCTTCCTTCCTTCCTTCCTTCCTTCCTCCCTTTCTTCTCCTTCCTTCCTTCCTTCCTCCCTTCCTTCCCTCCCTTCCCTTCTCGCCTCTTCCTTTCTCCCCCCCCCCGTCTTGTCTTCTCTGTCCCCACTTCTATCAGAGGCCTGTGCATTAGCGCCCACTCTGTGACTCACACCAGCCACTGTGTGACTCGCACCAGCGCCCCGGCGGCCAGCAGCGAGGTGACCCCATCTCCCTGCCCCCCCTCTCCCCCACAGAGGGTCATCCTCAAGGACTTGAAGCACGGCGACGGGGACTTCACGGAGAAGCAGAAGATCGAGCTCAACAAGGTGAGGCGCGGGCAGGGCACCCAGAGACAGGACAGGGAGCTCCCCCCACCCAAGCCCTGGGCCCCACCCCCAAAACCCTGGATCCCACCCCAAACCCTGGATCCCTGACCCCAAAACCCTAGGCCCCACCTCCAAAACCCTGAGCCCCTGACCCCTCAAAACCCTGGGCCCCTGACCCCTCAAAACCCTGAGCCCCAGACCCCCAAACCCTGGGCCCCTGTCCTTAAAACCCTGGGCCCCTGACCCCCAAACCCTGGGTCCTTGACCCCCAAACCCTGGGCCCCTGACCCCTCAAAACCCTGAGCCCCAGACCCCCAAACCCTGAGCCCCTGACCCCCAAACCCTGAGCCCCTGACCCCCAAACCCTGAGCCCCAGACCCCCAAACCTTGAGCCCCTGACCCCCAAACCCTGAGCCCCTGACCCCCAAACCCTGAGCCCTGACCCCCAAACCCTGGGCCCCTGACCCCTCAAAACCCTGAGCCCCAGACCCCCAAACCCTGAGCCCCTTGCTTCATGTCAAAAATTCTACCAGGAGCAGGGCTCCAGTGGCTCACGCCTGGCATCCCAGCTACTCAGGAGGCTGAGAACTGAGGATTGCGATTCAAAGCCAGCTCAGGCAGGAAAGTCTGTGAGACTCTGATCTCCAATAAACCACTAGAAAACCAGAAGTGGCGCTGTGGCTCAAGTGGTAGAGCACCAGCCTTGAACTGAAGAGCTCAGGGACAGCGCCCAGGCCCTGAGTTCAAACCCCACAACCGACAAAAAAAAGACAAAAACAATTCTACCAGGAAAATAATGTCCATGTTAAATCGAGATGTCTGATGGCTAAACCAGTTTGGCCCGGGGTTGGTGCGCTCTACACCAGGCCTTAGATTTTTCTGGAAAGTGGGTGGAGTTGGTATACAGTTTGCTTTGAAGCGCCCAGGCCCTGAGTTCAAGCCCCAGGACTGACACAAAATGCACCAGGGTCCCCCAGGCACCAGGATGGAGCCTGAGCCCAGCTCCCGCCCACCCTCCCTCCCTCCGTCCCTCCCTCCGTCCCTCCCTCCGTCTGTCCCTCTGTCCGTCCCTCCGTCCGTCCTCACAGCTGCTGCAGTCCGACTACTACAACCTCACCAAGTTCTACGGCACCACGCGGCTGGACGCCAGGGTGTTTGCGGTGATCGAGTGCTGCGAGCGAGGCTCTCTGCGGGTGAGCGGGCGCACGCCACAGCCCACGGGACCCGGCCACGCCACGCGTGTCCATAGACGGGGTCCAACAGCGTGTGACATCACACGCAAGCGTCCCCATGCGTGTCAGTTGACATTCCCATAGGTGAATAGCCCACCGTGCACATGTTATACACGTTTACCTGACTATACTAGATAACACAGTGCATTAACAATATGCTCTATTCTATTACATTATATATATTACTATAACATATAATATCACAGATTACATGATGTATTACATATTATATTGTGTGTGTATTATATACACAATGTACACATAATATACATATAGCATAGGGTGTGTAGGTTATATCATAACACATTGTATGTTATATACGCATAATATATATAATATAGATTATAGTAATATATACGATTAGTATGTGACAATAGACATAGTAATATGTGATCATGGATGACATAGACATATACCTACACATGTATAAGATGTCAATTATAATTAATCAATATAGAATCAACTATGATATAGACATAATTGTTATAGTATGTGATATAAGTACACATGTGCAGTAGGATAAAAGGTGATATAGACATATATACATAAATATATGTGATCTTTAATATGACAGATATATACACATACACATATACTATATGACATAGCTATATATACATACATATAACTTACATGAGATAACTTTACAAATAATTTACAAGTGATATATAATTACATACATTAGGGCTGGGAAGGTGGCTCAGTGGTAGAGCGCTTGCCTTGCATGCATGAGGCCCTGGGTTCGATTCCTCAGCACCACATAAGAAAAAAGCCGGAAGTGGCGCCGTGGCTCAAGTGGTAGAGCACTAGCCTTGAGCTGAAGAGCTGAGGGACAGCACCCAGGCCCAGAGT